TTGTTATAACCAAAAACCAAGAATCAACTCTAACAATTGAAAACAAAATCAAAGAAAGTAAATCCAAACTTAACTTACGGCTCCAACGAGACCTTTCTATATTAGGCAAATTCACTTATCAAAAATGAAAAGTTTGTCTAGATTAACTTAAACTACTTGCAGCATCGCTGTCCCAAATATCTTAATTAAGACTACCAATCAGATGAACATGAACTTCATTTGGAGAAACAGACCATAATACCTGAGAAAAGGTCAAATAGAGATGGTGGTCTGAAAGTAATTGACTTTGAGTGCCTCAGCGGAACCCTTAAGATTAAATGGTTGAAATCATGGATCAAAAATTCTGAATCACTTTGGTATGGTGTTCATAATTATATATTTAACAAAACAGGTGGTCTAAAACTACTACTTCTAGCTGATTTCAATAAACTGTCCATCAAATTATCAGAGTTCCATAAACAAGTGTTATACTGGAAAATGCTCAACGTACATAAGTACTCACCACACTCCACTCTCATATGGAATAACAGATTCATGCTATATCACAATAAGTCATTATTTTATAAAGATTGGATGGAGAAGAACATTTGGTCTGTTGTACACTTAATGGACACTCATGGTTACATGTTAAACTATGAACAATTCTGTGCAAAGTATAAATTCTATCCCCCAAAAGTTGAATTCACCAGATTACTTAAAGCATTACCAAAACAATTTATTAATCAGACTCAAAATATAATAGCATATCATCATATAACCCCACAATTACCCACTATCTATTAATGGAATATAATTTACTGACGAAAAAATTCAACAACTACACAATTAGAAGCTGTCTGAATTAAACCTTATTCCCTGGGAAAATAAATAAAAATAACATACTTTGCAAATTTGACAAAAAAATCAATAGAAATGTTATGAACTCTATATTTCAAACTCCCCATACAACCAAAAGCTAAAGCAACACACTTTAAAATTTTAAATGCAGTTTACCCCTCCAAAGAGCTACTAAGAAATCGTTTTAATATTGATTTTTAATAGTGATGTATATATCTTGAATGAATGAATAATATTGATGACAATAAATGCTCATTCTGTGAACAGGATATAGAAACAATAGACCATATCTTCTTTGAATGCATCAAAACCAGAATATTTTGGAATCACTTAGAAAGATGGATCACACTGAAAATTGCACTTCCTGAATCTATTTCCAGAGATATGGGAACATTTGGAGTATTATTGAAAAACCAAAAAAATGGAACTGGGTTGTAATCTGATATTTTGTCTGGCAAAATTCTTTATTCATAAACAGAGAGTGCTAAGATCATCCCCAGTTTTTAACGTTTTTTTAAATCTGAATTCAAATTATATTTGAAATCTCTGAAATATATTGAAACACATGAATACCATTATGAAATGTTAATGGAACTGCCCACCACTAATGCATATAAACATATAACCCCGTGGTTTCTATCTACTTCTTCTTTAAGGCTTTTCCCTCTCCAGGGGTCTCCACAGTGAGTCATCCTCCTCCATCTCACTCTGTCCTCACTCCAACTACCTCCATGTCCTCTTAAACTGTATCCACATATCTCCTCTTTGGTCTTTCTTGGTCTTTTTCCTGGCAACTGCATTTCTAACATCCTTTTACCAGTGTACCCACTGTCCCTCCTCTGGACAGGTCCAAACCACTGTCCCTCCTCTGGACACGTCCACACCATCTCAGTCTGGTTTCTCTAACTTTATCTCCCAGTTGTTCAACCTGTGCTGTACCTCTGATGATCTCATTCCTAATCTTATCCAGCCTTGTCACTCCTAAGGAGAACCTCAACATCTTGATTTCCACCACTTCCAGTTCTGTCTCCTGTCTTTTTGTCCATGTCTCTGTCTCCAGATGATACAACACAGCTGGTCTCACAACTATTTTCTAATTTGTAAACTTTTCCTTTGACCTTTGCTGACACCCTTTTGTCACAAATCACTCCTGAAAATTTTCTCCATCCACTCCATCCTGCCTGGACTCTCTTCTTCACCTTTACCACACTCCCCATTTTCCTGGACAGTGGACCCCAAGTCCTTGAAGTCCTGCACCTTTGTGACCTCTGCTCTTTGTAGTCTCACTGTTCCACCTCCTCCCTCTCATTCACACACATGTATTCTGTTTTACATACATCCACTTCTCCAAGTTCTCTTCCACCTGTTCCCACTACAGATCACAATGTCATCCACAAACATCATAGTCCATGGGGATTGCTGTTTGACCTCATCTGTTAGTCGGTCCATCACCAGAGCAAACAAGAAGAGGCTCAGAGCCGATCCTTGATGCACTCCCACCTCCACCTTGAAGCTATCTGTCACTCCTACAGCACATCTCACTACTGTCCTGCTGTCCTGTCCTCATACATGTCCTGTACCAGTCTAACATACTTCTCTGCCACTCCAGATTTCCTCATTCAGCACCACACCTCCTCCCTCAGCACTCTGTCATATGCTTTTTCTAAATCCACAAAGACACAATGGAGTTCTTTCTGACCCTCTCTGTACTTCTCCATCAATCAATCAACCTTTATTTAGACAGGTAAATCCCATTGAGCCTCGAGGACTCATTTATAAGAGAGACCTGATTTCAACAAAGAATGATGACAACAATGGACAACAGCAACAACAATAAACAGTTATAAAAAGTCATACTGCAGGTTTTTTTTTTTTTTTTTTTTTACAAATAGGATGGCTAAAAGGAAAAGGTAACAAAACAAAAAACAAAACAAACCAGCTAGATTCTAAGGCGAATGTAGAAAACTAAAAACAGGAACATGTCTGCATTGGTCCCTGCCATGAGTCCAACAGATTCTTAAAGCCACTTAGAGAGGTCAAGGTCCAGCATCAGCATCCTGAAATCAAAGATGGCATCTGTGGTGCTCTTTCTTGGCATGAAACCATACTGCTGCTCACATATAGTCACCTCTCGTCTAAGTCTTACTTCCACAACTCTCTCCCAGATTTTCATCGTGTGGCTCATCAACTTAATTCCCCTGTAGTTGCAACAACTCTGTAAATCACCCTTGTTCTTAAAAATGGGCAACAACACGCTTCTCCAATCCTCAGGCATTTTCTCACCCTCAAATACGCCATTGAATATTTGAGTCAAAAACCTCACTGCCATCTCTCCAAGATGTTTCCAAACCTCCACTGGTATGTCAACAGGTCCTACTGCCTTCCCTTTCTTCATTATTTTCAGAACTTCACCCTCACTAATCTTTCCCACTTCCTGGTCCACAGTTTCTATGACCGCTTCTTTCTCTTTCATTCTCTTCATTTATTAGCTCCTCAAATTACTCCTTCCATCTTCCCGTCACACTCTCCTCACTTGTTCGAACATTACCATTCCTATCTTTAACAAGCCTAACCAACTGCACATCCTTTCCTGCCTGATCCCTCTGTCTCGCTAATCTGTAAGTCTTTCTTGCCCTCTTTAGTCTCCAGCCTCCCATACAACTCACCATACACCATCTGCTTTGCCTTTGCCACGTCCCTCTTTGCTCTACATTGCATCTCCTTATATTCCTATCTCCTCTCTTCCGTCCTCTCATGGTCATATTTCTTCTTGGCTAACCCCTTTTTTTGAATAGCATCCTGCACGTCACTATTCCCATATATACTATACTACACTTCATACATATCCTCCTACATGTCTCTGCGTTAGTGCAGCTACAGCGTGTGCTCTCAGGACATCATTACCTGCAGTGTTCCCTCAGTGTGGACTGAAGTTGGCAAAAGGGCCTTCTCCTACTCCGCTCCTGTTTCCTGGAATATCTTACAAAAAGACCTGAAGCTCTCGACCTTTGACCTCTCTAAGTGGCTTTAAGAATCTGTTGGACTCCTGGCAGGGACCAATGCAGACATGTTCCTGTTTTTAGTTTTCTACATTTGCCTTATAATCTAGCTGTTTTTGTTACTTTTTTGCCATCTTATTTGTAAAAAATAAAAATCTGTATGCCTTTTTATAACTGTCTATTGTTGTCACTGTTGTCCATTGTTGTCATCATTCTTTGTTGAAATCAGGTCTCTCTTGTAAATTAGTCCTCAAGGCTCAATGGGATTTACCTGTATAAATAAAGGTTTAATGAAAAATCCACCACCAGGTTTTCTTATCATCCATTCTCTGTCCAGATGACACATCAAGTACCTTCCTACCTGTCTTTCTAATTACTGTTGCTGTAGTAGTCCAGTAATTTGGAAGCTTTTTCTTACCACCCAGAGTAAAATCCAAAATCCACCACTATCTGTCCTTCCTGGTTTCTTTCCTTGACACCAAACCTACCCATCACTTCTTCGTCCCCTCTGTTTCCTTCACCAACATGTCAATTCAGGTCTGCTCCGATCACCACTCCCTCCTCCCTGGGAATACTCTCCATGACACTTTTTCATCCAGATCCTTCCAACATGTATCTTTCTCCTCCACGTCACATCCAACCTGTGGAGAATAACCACTGAACATTTAGCATCAGACCTTCTACTTGTACCTTCAGACAAATCACCCTATCTGACACTCTTTCCACCTCAGCAATCCTATGGTGCATCCTACATTCTTAAACAAATCAACTATATTACCCACAGTGCCACAGTCTAAAAGAGAGATTACAACATTTTCTACATCTGAGTAAACTCTGCTAATTTATAAATTTAACTTTAAGCAAATTTTCTTTTTGTTTTACTTTCCAGACAAAACTTTCCCTCTGGTGTTTTAGGACAACAGTTTAATGATGAACTACAGACTCCAACTTCTTAACTCATTGCTTTAGTGTATCCCAAGTCTGAGAAAGTTGCACTATTTACAAGATGACACTTTCTAACTCATATGAGTTCTCATGCATACAATTAAAACACATTCTTAGCCAAAATATTATTAAACTTTGGCATGAGATGGGCCTTTCACCTATGAGTAATGTGTTGAATCAAAAACAGTTTCATAATGAAGCTTTTTTCCCAGGTCGGACAAAAAACGGTCTCTCACCTGTGTGACTTCTGATGTGAGTAGTCAAACCACTTTTACAAAAAAAATGTTTTCCACAGGTTTGACATGAGAAAGGTTTCTCACCTGTGTGAGTTCTCGTGTGAGTTAACAAACCACTTTCACTAGTATAACTTTTTCCACAGGTCTGACATGAGAAAGGCTTCCCACGTGTGTGAGTTTTCATGTGAGTCTTCAAAACAGTGTTGGTAATAAAACTTTTTCCACAAGTCTGACAGGAGAAGGGCCTCTCACCTGTGTGAGTTGCCATGTGGTATTTAAAACTGGTTGAATCACTGTATGTTTTTCCACAGGTATGACATAAGAAAGGCTTATCGCCTGTGTGAGTTGTCATGTGGTTTTTAAAACTGGGTTTATCTCTGTAACATTTTCCACATATTTGGCATGAGAAAGGCTTCTCAACTGTGTGCCTTTTCATGTGATTATTCAAAACACACCTAAAAATAAAACTTCTTCCGCAGATCTGACACGAAAATGGCTTCTCACCTGCGTGAGTTCTGGTGTGCTTATCCAAAACATTTTTGGAAAAAAAACGTTTTCCACAAGTCTGACATGAGAAAGGCTTCTCCCCCGTGTGAGATAAAATGTGAGTATTTAAAATCCTTTTTCTCATAAAACATTTTCCACAGCTCTGACAGGAGAAAGGCTTCTCACCTGTGTGGGTTAACATGTGTGTAAATAATTTTGTTTTCTGACTAAAACTAGTTCCACAGGTCTGACATGAGAAAGGCTTCTCACTTGTGTGAGTTCTCATGTGTCTAAAAAAATTACTTTTTTGATTAAAACTTTTCCCACAAGTCTGACATGAGAAAGGCTTCTCACCTGTGTGAGTTCTCATGTGAGTATTTAAAACTCTCTTATAATTAAAAGTTTTCCCACAAGTCTGACAAGAGAAAAGATTCTCGCCTGTGTGAGTTCTCATGTGAACAGTTAAACTATATTTTGCACAGAATTTTTTTCCACAAGTCATACACAAAAAAGGCTTTTTTGTGTGGTCTACACGGTCACCGTGACCTCTGGTTTGTGAACTGCTCTGATTTTGTTTGAGCTCTTCATCTCTGCAGGATCCTGGCTCTACATTCCTGCTTCTTTCCTGATCTTTGCTCTCCACTTTAGGAGAGTTTTGTGAAAGGAGTTGGTCCCTGTTTGGTTCCAATTCCCAGTGGTTTCTTTCATTAAAATCAGGAGTTACCATACAGGTTTCAGTCTCTGGCTCCTCTTTTATCTCTAAAAATTCTGGTTCATCCTTGGGAGGTTCTGGTGTCCCCTGTTTCTCTTGATTGTGTGGTAATTTGAGATCCTCATGGTACTTGATCATCTGTGAAGATTCTGGTGTTTCATGGTCCTCTTTTGTTTTTTGGGGTTCTGCTTCTTCTTGGTCCTCTTTCACCTGTGGAGGTTCTGGTTCTTCTTGGTCCTCTTTTATGTTTGGAGGTTGTGCTTCTTTTTGGTCCCCTTTCATCTGTGGGGGTTCAAGTTCTTCATGACAATCTTTCATCTGTGGGGGTTCTGGTTCTTCTTGGTCCCTTTTCATCTGTGGAGGTTTGGGTTCTTTAAGGTAACCCTTCAAATGTAGAGATTCTGGTTCTTTATGACCCTCTTTCATCTGTGGAGATTCTGGTTTCTCTTGGTCCAAACTGGTGTTCCTGTCCTGGTTACAGAGCTGCTGCTCAGTGAGAATCTTTTCCTCCTTCCAAATATGCTGTGGGAGTTCTGCAGACAGACAAAGGAAAGTACTGATTATCATTACTGAAGTAAATCATACTTCACTTTATTTTTTTTTATTAATTCAAAGATGGTTTGAAAGTTGCAGCTTGAGGTGATCACAGCTTGGCAGGTACTGAGACCACACCTTTCCTAAAACCTTCTGGGATACCACGCGTCTGTTCTGAGATTGGAAAACTGAAGCTGAAAATTTGGTGGCAGAAGAAAGGAAAATGAAGGATCATGTTTCTTGTTTTTAACTGATTGCATTATTATGAGTAATGCAGTAAAGTTGAAACAAAAATATGATTTAATTGTGTTAATCTTTATTCCCTACCTTTTGATTGTGTGGCAGACCACTGGATTTTTTCAGTTTTGAACATCAAAATGTTGAATTTCATAACGAAGACTAGTTTCCCTCCTCGTTGTCGAAGACCACAAGGAGGGAAACTAGTCAGAGGAAGGGTTGGGCATCAAGTCTTGAGAATCAACTTCCATCCCCATCAGAGCAGATCTTTGGAAGTCCTGTGACCACCCTGTTGCCTAGCCACACAGAACCTGGCCAAGATGAACATAGACTACAGGTGGCAGAGAGAGAGAGAGCTGAATATGAAATAAAACCATCATGATCGTGGCAGCAGTCGAGAATTAACCCCACTTCACCCTAGTCAACATGTAACTTTCCTAAACAAAGAGAAGGAAACCTGGCACCCTGCAGTAGTGCTGTCAAGGTGCAAGGACCAAAAGATCTACATTGTACATGTATTTTAGTTACCTAGCAGCTAAATGTGGGGGATGTTATAATGTATACTTGACTTGTAGTCAGATACGGAAACTGACTTTACAGCTGACACTTTGTAATTCAATTTCGATTCAGTTTATTTATATAACACCAAGTCACAACAGAAGTTATCTCAGGGCACTGAACAGAAACATTCCCATCCATTATCAATACCGATTAGTAAAGTTATCTACCTTAGGAAGGAAGCAGAACGCGTTGACTGCGTTCTAATGTGTGTAAATTATGTCTGATCAATGAGACGTCGTCATCCTCACATTGTCAGTGAGAATTCAACAGGTGGATCAATTAAAATTGATCTTTTTGTTTTTGTCTTTAGCAGTATATTATTTTGGGGTTAATGTTTTGACTATTTTCGACTCAGCTGTCCTAAACCTTCATAAATAAAGACTTTCTTCTGTAAACTGCATCCAATAAAACTTTCCTGACCGTGTCTTGAAGTCGCTGCAGCTCCTACCTGTCGTGTGCAGGTGTGTGTGAGGTTTCCAGCTGATGTCCAGCAGTCTGCGCTGACGATCGATCACCTCCTCGTACCGGACGATGGTTTTTTCAAACTCTGTGAATATTTCTTCAGCAGCAGCAGTTAGTCGCTCGCTGATAAACTCTCTCAGAGACTGAACTGAAGACATTGTTGCTGCACACACTCAAACATTCACCTCTCACACACACAGAGCTAACGATGCTAACACTGCTAGCGCCTTGTTGACTTCCGCCGGTGTCACACTATAAAGCTCCGGCTTCGCCTTCGAAATGGAAACACGATTTAATTATACGAGCTGGCATAGTAATTAGTTGACCAAAAAAATAAAAAATAAAACTTGCATGGCTGTTATATCTGATTCCACACCTTAACAGCTTAGTTATCTGCAGCTTGTAGATTAAAAGAGACAACACATTTTTCAGCAACTGGCTCTTTATTTCAATTTCTGATAATACTTTATATTCAAAACAAAACTAAAACATATAACTGTTGTAAAAAATCTGTCATGAATATGGGCAAATACAAAACATTTGTCTTCTTTAATCCCTATAAGTATTGTAAATACAAGAGTTAGTCTTTGAACATTTGCAAACATCTTTCGCTTGCAATATCCACCCTGCTTACCTGGTGTAACTGAATTTCTAAATCCAAAAATTGGAAATAAAATGTGTTTCAATTAGTCTTAATAAGCATTTAGTGGTTATGGTCCAAAACTTTACAGATTTACATGTGGGAGAAGTAAAATTTAGAAAACTTTTACACATCACAAGCTCATAAAGTACATTTTCGAGAATTAATTATTGGGTTTTTAAGGACTACTTATGAAATCAGTTTTTATTTTTGCTGGAATATCACAAATATTTAGAGGAATTTCAGGTTGAAGAACAAGCCTGTGGTGCATCCTACATTCTTAAACAAATCAACTACATTACCCACAGTGCCACAGTCTAAAAGAGAGATTACAACGTTTTCTAAATCTGAGTAAACTCTGCTTATTCATTTATTTAATTTAAAGCAACAGTTTTCTTTTTGTTTTACTTTCCAGACAAACCTTTCCTTCTGGTGTTTTAGATGACAGTTTAATGATGAACTACAGACTCCAACTTCTTAACTCATAGTTGTAGTGTATCCCAAGTCTAAGAAAGTTACATTATTTCCAAGATGACACTTTCTAACTCATGAGTTCTCATGAACACAATTAAAACATTCTTAGCCAAAAATGTTCTTAAACTTTGGCATGAGATAGGCATTTCACCTATGAGTAATGTTTTGAATAAAAACAGTTTCATGATGAAGCTTTTTTCCCAGGTCTGACAAAAAATGGCCTCTCACCTGTGTGACTTCTGATGTGAGAAGTCAAACCACTTTTACAAAAAAAACGTTTCCCACAGGTTTGACATGAGAAAGGTTTCTCACCAGTGTGAGTTCTTGTGTGGGTTAACAAACCAATTTCACTAATAAAACTTTTTCCACAAGTCTGACATGAGAAAGGGTTCACACGTGTGTGAGTTTTCATGTGAGTCTTCAAAACAGTGTTGGTAATAAAACTTTTTCCACAAGTCTGACATGAGAAGGGCCTCTCACCTGTGTGAGTTAACAGGTGTGTAAATAAATTTTTTTTCTGACTAAAACTAGTTCCACAGGTCTGACATGAGAAAGGTTTCTCACCTGTGTGAGTTCTCATGTGAACAGTTAAACTATATTTCTTACAAAAAAATTTCCCACAAGTCATACACAAAAAATGCTTTTTTGTGTGGTCTACACTGTCACTGTGACCTCTGGTTTGTGAACTGCTCTTATTTTGTTTCGGCTCTTCAGCTCCGCAGGATCCTGGCTCTACATTCTTGCTTCTTTCCTGATCTTGGTTCCCCACTTTAGGAGAGTTTTGTGAAAAGAGTTGGTCCCCGTTTGGTTCCAGTTCCCAGTGGTTTCTTTCATTAAAATCAGGAGTTACCATACAGGTTTCAGTCTCTGGCTCATCTTTTATCTCTAGAGATTCCGGTTCATTCTTGGGAGGTTCTGGTGCCCCCTGTTTATTGTGATTGTGTGGAAATTTTGGATCCTCATGGTACTTCATCATCTGTGGAGGTTCTGGTTCTTCTTGTTCCTCTTTTATTTGTGGAGGTTCTGCTTCTTTTTGGTTCCCTTTCATCTGTGGGGGTTCAAGATCTTCATGAACATCTTTCATCTGTGAAGGTTCTGGTTCTTCTTGGTCCAAACTGGTGTTCCTCTCCTGGTTACAGAGCTGCTGCTCAGTGACAATCTTTTCCTCCTTGAAGATATGCTGTGGGAGTTCTGGAGACAGACAAAGGATATTACTGATTATTTTTATTTTATGAATTCATACTTCACTTTAATTGTTTAATTAATTCAAAGATGGTTTGAAAGTTGTAGCTTAAGGTGATCACAGCTTGGTAGGAACTTAGACCACACTTTCCTAAAACCTTCTGGGATACTGTCCGTATGTTCTGAGATTGGAAAAGTGAAGCTGAAAATTTGGTGTCTGAAGAAATGAAAGAAAACGAAGGGTCGTGTTTCTTGTTTTTAATAATTGATGAATTATTATCAGTAATGCAGTAATTAATATCTCGATATTTTAGAAAAATGGCGATATACGATATATATATCTCAATTTTTTTTTCTTTCCATAAAAAAATATTTGAGTCAAATCTTTGTCCCACTTGTCACACAGCCACATTTATTAACAACAGCTGTAACTATAAAAAAAAACATCTAAAAATGAATTATTTAATTAGTTTTTTTTTTAGACATTTATTTACATATATTAAATAATAATCTTATTCAGCTGTGCCGTCTTCACGTTAGTAAGCATGTGTGAAGCAGCAGTGAGGGGCTGCTTGTATTCAACGAGGGAGGAGGAGGAGGCTGTGTTTTCAAGTCACAGTGAAAGGAGGTAGCATCCATTTAATAAAGCAGCAGCTAATCGTATCACTAAAGAGACTGTCCTTAGCGGCTAACAAGACAGCTAACTTTAGCCGTCTTGTTAGCCGCTAAGGTAAGGACCGTGTCTTTAGCAATACGATAAGCTGCTGCTTTATTAATGTCATGCTTTTCCTCTCAGGCACAGCATGGCTAAATGAGTTTTGACACGTTCTATCTGACCTGCAGCTTCACACACCACTTACACGCCGTTTTAAATAGGGAAAAAGATTTGTGGTGCTGACCTTTTATCAGGATTCGGGACTTGTTTTTGGCATTGTCTACAGAAAACATTTTTCTGCTGCTCATCTGACAAATTAAATCCAAACCATCTCTGAAAGAACAGCCATTGTTCATCAGCAGCTAAGCTGCTCTTCATATCTCCCATGTTTTCTTGTGCTAAACATCTCCCGCACACCTCCTGGAGAAGAAGGAAGCAGCGAGGGGTGGGGGGGTGCGACTGAGGGTCTGTGTGTTTGTATTCAAGGAGGGAGAAGGAGGGGGCCGTGTGGGAGAAAGAAGAGCAGGTGGATTGTCAAGTACAGGGAGGAAAATCAGTATTTGAACACGCAGCGACTTTGCAAGTTCTCCCACTTAGAAATCATGGAGGGTTTGAAATTTTCATCTTAGCTGCATGTCCACTATGAGAGACATCATCTAAAAAAAAAAATTTCAAAAATCACAATGCATCATTTTTTAATAATTTATTTGTGTGTTACTGCTGCAGATAAAAATTTGAACACCTGTGAACATCAAAGTTAATATTTGGTACAGTAGTCTTTGTTTGCAGTGACAGAGGTCAGATGTTTCCTGTAGTTCTTCACCAGGTTCACTGCAGCAGAGATTTTGGTCCATTCCTCCACAGATCTTCTCTAGATCACCAGGTTTCTGGTCTGTCACTGAGAAACACGGAGTTTGAGCTCCCTCCAAAGATTTTCTATAGGGTTTAGGTCTGGAGACTGGCTGGGCCACTCCAGAACCTTGATATGCTTCTTATGGAGCCACTCCTTGGTTCTCCTGGCTGTGAGCTTCGGGTCATTGTCATGTTGGAAGACCCAGCCACGACCCATCTTCAATGCTCTGAGGGAAGGAGGTTGCTCTCCAGAATCTCTCACTACATGGCCCCGGTCATCCTCTCCTTAATACAGTGCAGTCGTCCTGTCCCATGTACAGAAAAACACCCCCAAAGCATGATGCTTCCACCCCCATGCTTCACAGTAGGGATGGTGTTTTTGGGATGGTACTAGGGGTTGAACGACTACATAATTTTTAACCTCGACATTAACATAATAAAACTCGAGTAGAACCCGAGTACTTGACGACATCATAGGATCTAAAAGATGCAAAAATAAATAAATAAAACTGCAAAAAAGTCATTATTTACAAAAAAAGACCAACAAAACATTGGGAGAGTATAATATGCTCCATTTATCACACTGCAAATAAGTCACAGGAAAAACTACACTATTAGTTTTTATTATTAAGCTGCAAAAGTGAAAGAAACATGCAGCACGTAAAAAACAAAACTAAAAACAGTGGGGGGGGGGGTCGACCACCCTGCACCACCGCCAGCTGTGCTATGCATTAGGTTTAGTTTTAGAGATTAATATTTGTATAGGTTTTTATAGGTTTAGAGATTAATATTTTTTGCTTTTTGTTTGTGAAACAAGGTCAGAGGAAGCTGGTTCTGGTTCGGTCGATTGGACCTGGTGTTACACCATATTCTGTGACCTGCAACAGTGCATGCAACACTGCCCCCTACGGTCACAATATATGGTGGCCACAGAATATGGTGCAACACCGGTTTACAACGAGCTCCAAACAGTCAGGAAGTTGATTAATTTTCTGTTTCCTTACGGTAGTTGAACCAGAAGATTCATCTTTAGCTAAATATTTCCAGACTATTGATGCATTTCTACCCATTTGCCAAGACTGGGCCTGCTCCGCTCCGTCTATCTGCTGGGTGGAAACCATTTTGTAACCCGCGCCCGGTGCGGATCATGTTACGTAATGACGTCACCATGAATACTCGACGTGAAATAAAAAAAACTCTATAGATGTGACCAAATAACTTTCTCCCATGACTCCTCTGGATCATCCAAATGGTCATGGTCAAACTTAAGATGGGCCTGGACGTGTGCTGATTTAAGCAGGGGAACCTTCCGTGCCATGCATGATTTAAACTATGACGTCTTAGTGTATTACCCACAGTAACCATGGAAACAGTGGTGCCAGCTCTCTTCAGGTCATGGACCAGCTCCTCCGTGTAGTTCTGGGCTGATTCCTCACCTTTCTTGGGATCACTGATACGCCACGATTTAAGCAGGGGAACCTTCCGTGCCATGCATGATTTAAACTATGACGTCTTAGTGTATTACCCACAGTAACCATGGAAACAGTGGTGCCAGCTCTCTTCAGGTCATGGACCAGCTCCTCCGTGTAGTTCTGGGCTGATTCCTCACCTTTCTTGGGATCACTGATACGCCACGAGATGAGATCTTGCATGGAGCCCCAGTCCGAGGGAGATTGACAGTCATGTTTAGCTTCTTCCATTTTCTAATAGTTGCTCCAACAGTTGATCTTTTTTCACCAAGCTGCTTGGCAGTTGCCCCGTAGTCCTTTCCAGCCTTGTGGAGGTCTACAGTTTTGTCTCTGGTGTATTTGGACAGCTCTTTGCTCTTAGCCATGTTAGTAGTTGGAGTCTTAGGTCGTTTTCACACCTGATAGTCCAGTAGACTCGGTTCGGGACCAATATTCATGACCTTTTGTTACATTTGAGCTGGTGCGTTTGCATTCATGCTGCACTGTGCAGTCGAGTCAACCTGTTGAACCAACCTGTTCTCCCGCTCGCCTGTGGGGGCGCTGCACCAAGAACTACTGAAAGAAACGACACAAAAACCTCTGAAGACACGTCTTCTTCTTCTTCTGTAAATAAAAATAAAAACGAAGTGGCATCAAGTTTTAGCAGTTTTAGGAGTTATATTTTGTCATTTTTCAAAAATGGACTTAGCATGAGCAGAAGATGAGACAGAAGACCACGGAGAATATTGTTTTTCTACACAAGGCAGCTGACGGCTCCATATGAGGTCAGAGAAATGTGTGTTTGTTTGTCCTGTGGAGCGGGTCCGGTCTGTTTACATTCACACTGCACTCGAACCGTGCTGGAGTTCGCTTCTACCGGACCCAGACCTAGGTTTTAGCCCGGGCCAGAGTTCACCTTTTTGTTCCGTGACAGAGTTCGATAGCGCGTTCACACCTCCCTAAACGAACCGGACTTTCTAGGAAAACGAGCTAGAGTTCGATAAAAGCGGACTAAACAGGGCTAGTGTGAATGTACCCTTACTGATTGTGTGGGGTGGACAGGTGTCTTTATGCAGCTAACCACCTCAGACAGGTGCTTCTAATTTACAATAATAAGTGGAGGTGGATTCTTTAGAGGCGGACTAACAGGTCTTTGAGGACTAGAATTGTTGCTGATTAGCAGGTGTTCAAATACGTATTCGCAGCAGTAACACACAAATAAATTATTTTTAAAAATCATACATTTTGATTTCTGGATTTTTTAAATTTAGATTATGTTTCTCACAGTGGACATGCACCTAAGATGAAAAGTTCAGACCCTCCATGATTTCTAAGTGGGAGAACTTGCAAAGTCGCAGCATGTTCAAATACTTGTTTTCCTCCCTGTATAATATTGCTTTATATCGAAATAGTCTCATCTTATATCGCAAAAAAAAAATTATATTAATACTTTTAAAATATCGAGATATCGCCCAGCTCTACTTGTTACAGTATATTTACTGTTTGAACATGAATGCACATCAGTGCATGTTTTTGGTCTGTGGGAGGAAACCGGAGAACCCGGAGAAAACCCACGCACGCATACACGGAGAGAACATGCAAACTCCATCCAGAAAGGCCCACGGACCGGGATTTGAACCGGCAACCTTCTCGCTGAGAGGCAGCAGCTCTACCACTTGCGCCACCGTGCTGCTAATTCAATTTCAAATTCCATTTCAATTCAGTTTATTTGTAAAGCTCCAAGTCACAACAGAAGTCGTCTCAGGGACTGAACAGAAACATTCATGTATAAAATAATAATTTAACAGAAACATTCATGTATAAAATAATAATTTAACAGAAACATCCATGTATAAAATAATAATTTAACAGAAACATTCATCTATAAAATAATAATTTAACAGAAACATTCATCTATAAAATAATAATTGAACAGAAACATTCATCTATAAAATAATAATTGAACATTATTTATCTGAGGAGCAGCTTTGAGTTTAACTCCATCACTGAACTCTCATCTTGAACAAGCATGAAGGCGACAGTGGAAAGAAAAACTCCCTCATGAGGAAGAAACCTTTAGCAGGACCAGGATCAGGACAAGAGGACCATCTGCTTCCACCGGCTGGGTTTGGTAGGAATAGATACACAATGGCAGGTCAAGAATCACATGTTAAGATAGAAATAGTATCAAATGAAAACTATTCAATTTTAACAGTTCATTAAAGGAAATGAGGTCAGTTTGTCCTCTAGTAGTCTAAGTCTATAGCAGCATGACAAGCCGACCCTAACTATAGGATTTATCAAATAAGGAAAGCCTCATGGACAGAAACTGGAAGTTGGTTCCACAAGAGAGGAGCCTGAGAACTGGAAGATCTTCCTCACATTCTGCTTTTAGAAACTCTAGGAACCACAAGTAAACCTGCAGTCTGAGAGTGAAGTGCTCTGTTAGGAACATATGAACAAGAAGATCTCAAATATAAGATGGAGATGGAACTAGGTTGTTGAGAGCTTTGTAGGTTAGAAGTAAGATTTTGAATTTAACTCTGGGCTTGACAGGGAGCCAATGGAGAGAAGCTAAAACTGGAGAGATATGATCTCTCCCAGTAACTCCAGTTAAGACTCTGGCAAGACTCTGGTAAAGTTATCTACCTTAGGAAGGAAGCAGAACGCGTTGATGGCATTTCAATGGGTGTGCGTGTGTAAATTATGTCTGAGCAATGAGACTTCATCATCCTCACATTGTCAGTGATAATTCAACAGGTGGATCAGTTAAAATTTATCTTTTAATTTTTGTCTCTAGCAACACATTATTATGGGGGTAATGGTTTTTGACCACGTTTTTGACTCAGCTGTGTCTTGAACCCTCAGAAATAAACACTTTCAGCTGCAAACTGCATCCAACAAAACTTTCCTGACCGTGTCTTGATGTCCCTGCAGCTGCAGCTCCTACCTGTTGTGTGCAGGTGTGTGTGAGGTTTCCAGCTGATGTCCAGCAGTCTGCGCTGACGATCGATCTCTTCCTCGTACCGGACGATGGTTTTTTCAAACTCTGTGAATATTTCTTCAGCAGCAGCAGTTAGTCGCTCGCTGATAAACTCTCTCAGAGACTGAACTGAAGACATTGTTGCTGCACACACTCAAACATTCACCTCACACACATAAACAAACACAGAGCTAACGATGCTAACGCTGCTAGCGCCTTGTTGACTTCCGCTGGTGTCACACAGTGAAGCTCCGGCAGAAACTGCATATTTTTTTTCGCCCTCAAGGATTGGAGGACGGAATGTGACAAAAATAAATAAATGAAGTGAAAAACAATTAATAGTTGCAAATTGGCACTAAATTTAACTACTTTAAAAAAATCCTCTTCCACCTGATTTTACATTTTAACCACTTAATTTATCTGCAGCTGACTAATTTAAACGAAAAAATATGGAACCTTAACCTCTTTAGGGAGTGGTGGAGCAGAGGTTAGAGAAGATGGGCCTGTGATCAGAAAGTCACGGGCCCAACTCCCGGTACCGTCAACATCCAAATGTGGGTGGAAAAAGTGAAACACCCACACCTGCATCCACCCTCATTCCCCCCAGTCTGGGCCCCTGAGCAAGACCCTTAATTCCCACCATTTGCTCCCAATTAAAAAAAATCCTTGCATATCTGATTTCACATCTTAACAGCTTATTTATCTGCAGCTTGTTAATAAAAACTTGTTACTGTTGTGGTGTGCTGGGGCAGCAGGGTGAAGAATGCTGATGCCAACAGACTCGATAAACTCATCAGGAGAGCTGGCTCAGTTCTGGGAGTGGACCTGCAGTCTCTGACAGAGGTGTCTGAGCAGAGAATGCAGAGGAAACTGCTCCAGGTCCTGAACAACACATCATCCCCGCTGCATGCCACACTTCACACAGCACCTTCAGTCGTAGACCGAGACCACTGAGGTGCTCCACAGAACGCCACGGGAAGTCCTTCCTCCCTGTGGCTATCAAACTTTTCAACTCCTCCCCTTTTCTACACATAGGACAACAAAAAAAACCCTGTACTACAATAAACACTTTAATTGTTTCTGTCTGCACCTGACCTGTTTTGGACCTTAATTGTTGGTAATTTTATATTTTCTTATTTTTATATATCTCAAGTCCTTGTTTATGTTCCTTTGGCATGACTTGCACAATAATTTCCTGCTGGATCTTATCACTTACAGGAGGAACAAAGAGAAAACACTGTCATTTTCCAACAAATGGGTCTTTATTTCTTTCTGATACTAAACATATTCAAAAGAAAAAACATTTAACAGTTAAAAAAATTCACTAATGAACATAGGAAAATACAACATTTTCATATTTTCTTTTGTCCCTACAAGTAAAAATTCAACATTTAGGCAATTTATTTTAATTGTTTAAATAATTATCATCTTCCATCTGTGAAAAGTCAACCAATGTAACCAGCATAACTGCAACTGAATTTCAAGAACCAAATCTAGAATTTCTTCCTCAGTTTTAATTAGTCGTAAAGACTCATTAGTGGTCATCTAAAAACCCTACAGATGTGACCAAAGGCAGGTACAGAAGTGAAATTTAAAATACTTTATACTTCACAAGCCTACGCATTTGAGTAGATTTGGAATGTGCAAAATAATTTACAGGAAGAAAACTATTAGAATTAAACAAATATATAAATACACATTACATATACAGTTTACAGCTGCCTTTTATGTTACAGAAAACAAAGAAAGTTAATAAATTAGGATTTGATTTGTTAAAGTGGTTTCTGACATGAAAATTATTACCTATAAGTTTAATATTTTCTGAAACACTCCCAAGCAGACAAAAGTGAACTCAGTTTGGAGAAACAAGAAGATTCTTTAAATTCATTTAATTGTAATTTTTTTCAACAAAACAGTTTTATTCTTGTTTTACCTTTCAGACAAACCTTTCCCACTGGTGATTTATGACTACAGTGTAATGATGAACTTCTGACTCCAACTCGTCAACTCTGAGTTTTGTCACTCTCCAAAGTCTGAGAAAGTTCCAAGATTCACAAGATTACACCTTCTCGTGTGTCTGATAGAAATACATTTTTTGAATAAATCTTTGTCCACTGGACTGACAGGAGAACAGTTTTTTACCCGAATTCTCATGTGGTGTTTATTTTGTTTTCCCTGTAACTTTTCCACAAGGTAAAAAGCTTTTATTCGGTGTGAGTTGCCATGTGGTTTTTGAAACTTGTTCTATCACTGTAATTTTTTCCACAGGTATCACATGAGAAAGGCTTCTCACCTGTGTGAGTTATTATGTGAGAAATCAAAGAACTTTTATAGTTGAAACTTTTCCCACAAGTCTGACATGAGAAAGGCCTCTCACCTGTGTGAGTAATCATGTGAGTCATCAAAACACTTTTGTAGTTAAAACTTTTTCCACAGGTCTGACATGAAAAGGGCCTCTCACCTGTGTGAGTTCTCAAGTGAGTAATCAAAACACTTTTGTAGTTGAAACCTTTTCCACAGATCTGACATGAGAAAGGCCTCTCAACTGTGTGAGTTCTCATGTGGTATTGAAAACGTTTTTTTTCACTGTAACTTTTTCCACAGGTCTCACATGAGAAAGGCCTCTCACCTGTGTGCGTTGTCATATGGTTTTTCAAACTTTGTTCATCACTACAACTTTTTCCACAGGTCAGACACGAGAAAGGCCTCTCACCTGTGTGAGTTCTCATGTGGTATTTAAAACTTTTTTTTTCATTAAAGCTTTTTCCACAGGTCACACATGAGAAAGGCTTCTCATCTGTGTGAGTTGTCTTGTGAGTAATCAAAACACTTTTGTAATTGAAATTTTTCCCACAGGTCTCACATGAGAAAGGCCTCTCACCTGTGTGAGTTCTCATGTGAGTAGTCAAAACACTTTTGTAGTTGAAATTTTTTCCACAGGCTTGACATGAGAATGGCTTCTCACCCGTGTGACTTCTCATGTGAACTGTTAAATTATGTTTATCTCTGAATTGTTTTCCACACGTCATACACAAAGGTGTTTTTTTGTTTATCTTTACGTTTGGACTGTCCAGATTGTCACCATAACCTTCTGTTTGTAGATTTCTCTTATTTTGTTTCGGCTCTTCATCTCTGCAGGATCCTGGGTCTACATTCCTGCCTCTTTCCTGATCTTGGTTCTTCACTGTAGGAGAGCTTTGTGAAAGGAGTTGGTCCCTGGAGTTTGGTTCCAGTTCCCACTGGTTTCTTTCATTATAAACAGGAGTTATCAAAAAGATTTCAGCCTCCGGCTCCTCCTTTATCTCTAGAAATTCTGGTTCATCCTTGGGAGGTTCTGGTGCCCCCTGTTTCTCTTGATTGTGTGGAAAATTGGGATACTCATAGTACTTCATCATCTGTGAAGGTTCTGATTCTTCTTGGTCCAAACTAGTGTTCCTCTCCTGGTTACAGAGCTGCTTCTCAGTGAGAATCATTTCCTCATTCGAGGTATGATGCTGTGGGATTGCTGCACAGACAGACAAAGGAAAGTACTGATTATTGTTACTGTAGTTAATCATACTTCACTTTTATTTTTTTATTAGTTCACAGATGGTTTGAAAGTTTAAGCTTGAGGTGATACTGTACTTGGACCACACCTTTCCTAAAAACCTGCTGGGATACTGTCCATCTGTTCTGAGATTGAAAAACTGAAGCAGAAAATTTGGTGGCAGAAGAAAGAAAAATGAAGTGTTGTGTTTCTTGTTTATAACTCATTGAATTATTATCAATAATGCAGTAAAGTTGAAACAAAACAAAATTTGTGTTTTAATTGCGTTGCTCTTTATTCCCTCTCTTTTGATTGTGTGGCTGAGCGCAGAATATTTTAAATTTTGAACATCAAAACATTTAATGCCACAATTTTTTTAACTCTCATGCTGCCCCATTATGTGCATATCACTTTCTTAATCAAATCAAATGCTATTTTATTAAATATCGGTGTTTCCCCTAAGTTTCTGGCCAGGAGGTGCTGGAGGATCAATGACACAAAAACATTCAAATTTAAGTTTTGCTTTTAACAAGTGAGGTCTCTTCAAAATGATATAGACTCAATACCTTTGGGCCCCAAAATGGGCCTTCTCATAAAATCCATCCATACATCCTTCTTCCGCTTGTTCCAAAGTCAGGTCGTGGGGCCAGCAGCTTGAGCAGGGAGGTCCAGAAATCTATTTTCACAGCCACCTCTTCCAGCTCTTCTGAGAGGACTCCAAGGTGTTCCCAGGACAACCGAAAGACGTGGTCTCTCCAGTGTGTCCTGGGTCTTCCCTGGGGTTTCCTCTGAGTCGGACATGCTCGAAATACCTCCATAGGGAGGCACCCAGGGAGAATCCTTAGCAGATGCCTGATCCACCTCAACTGGCTCCTCTTGATGTGGAGGAACAGCGGTTCTACTCAGAGTCTCTCCCGGATAACTGAACTTCTCACCCTATCTCTAAGCTAGAGAACTTTACTAATTGGCTTTTCTTTGTATGTGAATGTTTCTGTAAAGTGCCCTGAGACAACTTTGTTGTGATATGGCACTATATAAATAAACCAAATTGAATTGAATGTTCCATTCTTCCCTCACTTGTGAACAAAAGCCCAAGATACTTGAACTCCTCCACTTGAGGCAGATCCTCACCCTCGACCTGAAAAGAGCAATCCACCCTTTTCCGACTGAGGACCATGGCCTCAGATTTGGAGGTGCTGATTCTAATCCCAGTTGATTCACAGTCTGCTGCGAACCGCTCCAGTGAGAGCTGAAGATCACGGCACAATGACACCAACAGGACCTCATCATCTGCAAAGAGCAGAGATGAAATCCTGAGGCCACCGAACCAAAAACCCTCTGCCCCCTGGCTGCACTGAGAAATTCTGTCGATAAAAGTTATGAACAAAATCTGTGACAACAATGAGCCTGGCGGAGTCCAACTCCCACCCTGAAGGGGTCCAACTTACTACCGGCAATACGAACCAAACTCTCGCACTGCTTGTATAAGGACTGAACAACCCATAGCAATGGGCCCCCAATCCCATACTCACAAAGCACCCCCAACAGTGTACCCTGAGGAACATGATCAAAAGCCTTCTCCAAGTCCACAAAACACATGTAGACACATGGGCAAACTCCCATGACCCCTCACGGACCCTAGTAAGGGTAAAGAGCTAGTCCAGTGTTCCATGGCCAGGATGGAACACGCATTGTTTCTCCTGAATCTGAGGTTTGACCAACGATTGGACTTGCTTCTCCCCCTGAATAGACCTTGCCAGGAAGGCTAAGGAGAATGATGCCCCTATAATTGGACATGTTTTTAATGTATCATGTTTTTAATGTATCATGTATTTAAGAAGAATGGACTTGCGACCTGTCCAGGGTGTACCCCACCCCTTGCACAGTGATTGCTGGACATGGGCATCAGCAACCCCCATGACCCAAAATGGAAGAAGCGGGTAAAAGATAATGGATGGATGGATGTATTTAAGAATTAGTTTTATTGGGTTAGCAAAGCTTATTAAAGTTTTATGGCATTTTTTACTTGTATTGTTTCGTATGTATGAGCCAAATGTCAAAGATAAATCTCCATTTCATGAAATGTTATGGACAATGAAGTTATATTGATTGATTGATTGATTGATTACACGTAGTCCATGCATCTGTGGACTGAGGCAGTCCTATGGGGGTCTGGGGGAATGCACCCCCAGAATTGTTTAAAAAAAAAAAAAAAAGGAATACTCAAAGCTATGAATTTTCTGGGGGAAAGATGACTGCGGTTTGATAAGCTGCGTTCTGCCAGGCTCCCATCAGCGCTGCTTGAAAAGCTGCCTTCTATAGTTATATTATTGCTGCCTCCGCATTGGATTCTTCCTCTGAGATCAGCATTGTCACAGGACTGATTCAACTTCACCACTTGCTCTTGCCGAGGTCAGGCGCTTCTCCCCCTCTCTCTCCGCTTTGCTTTGCTGCTCTGTCTGTCTGTCTGTGAAACTGCTTTTGAGCCTCTCTCTACATAGCTTCCGAACCATAATTATGGACTTGATTTGATCAGTTGGTCCCTCAACACAATTGATAACATTTCTTCGAAGAGAAGATAGGCTTTAGGCAAGCCGATTTGCCCTGTTGGCACACACGCAGCTGGATATCCCATCAACTTGGAAGACTTGATGTGCCTATCTCTGCTGCCATTTGTGGATTTTAAGGACGCATTTATAATTGGATTTATGATAACTGGTTCTTGCTTTTTGGATTCGGCTGGTCGCTGGTTTATCTACAAACAAGGAAAAGGTCAGCAGCAAATTTGGACCCGATTATGCTGCTTGCCTTATGATGGCTTGGTTCGTGCCTTGAGTACCCAGACGCAAATGCTTTTGGCAGAATGGATCAGATCTTGGGGATTTTACTCAAGCATGTTCTTTTGGTGTGGCCACATAATTTGGACATTTCAGAACCCGAGTGGACCAACACAAACTCAAGGTAGACATCATTAAGTTCTGCCTGTCCCCAAAACAACTGTGTGTTTATCTGAATTTGGCTCCCCCAGTTAGCCTTGAAGGCCATCTTATCTGAATTTGCCTGGAGAGCATGTAATCTGATGCTCTGCCCCACACCCTCCCCCTACCATAAAGGAATTTCCAACTGATAACAGAGGAAACCAGTTGAATAAACACTGTGTCATCATTTTAGGATTCTTGGATTCCCACAGGCGTTGTCCTTGGCCATTCCCCGACATGACTTGAGAATGCTTACGGATCTCAGCGGAGGGAACTGGTTGATAATTACATCCTTATCAGAACTCTTACAGTGTCCTCGAGTGCATCCTTGAACATTGCTCACCGCTCTCATCAACCCCCCACCCCCGCGCAGAATGTCTATGTCACTATGTGTTTTATGTGTGAGGTGGTTTTTTTTATATTAATTTTTCTTCTCAGTCAAGAAGAAAAAGTTTAATAGGAATTTTTTTTGCCTCCAATTTTTACGTGTTTCAGTTTTACTACTTTTTGTCTGTCTAAGCAGAGCTCATTTGTAAATGGTCTTCAAGGCTCAATATGATTTATCTGTCTAAATAAAGGTTGAATGAATAATATGGCCTAAAAATTAAAGACAACTGGGTCTATGTCCACGCAGCCTTTTGACACAGCTGCAGCCTTGGACCGCAGTGCTGCAGGAGAAGGTGCGTCAACCCCGCCCTCGCTGGGCTTTGGAAAGATGATTGAGTCGGCTCTGAAGTCAAGACACTCTAGCTTCAATTAAATCTGAAGTCACAGCGATAATTAGGATAGAGATGAAGGCGGCCCTGAAATATGATTTTATAAACCGGATTCCAAAAAAGTTGGGACACTAAATAAAGTGTGAATAAAAACTGAATGCAATGATGTGGAGATGGCAAATGTCAATATTTTATTCGTAATATAACATAGATGACAGATCAAAAGTTTAATCTGAGTAAATGTAACATTTTAAAGGAAAAATATGTTGATTCAAAATTTCACAATGTCAACAAATCCCAAAAAAGTTGGGACAAGTAGCAATAAGTGGCTGGAAAAAGGAAATTGAGCATATAACAAAGAGCTGGAAGACCAATTAACCCTAATTAGGTCAATTGACAACATGATTGGGTATAAAAAGAGCTTCTCAGAGTGTCAGTGTCTCTCAGAAGCCAAGATGGTAAGAGGATCACCAATTCCACCATTGTTGCACAGAAAGATAGTGCAGCAATACTAGAATGGTGTTACCCAGCGTAAAATAGCAAAGACTTTTAAGTTCTCATCATCAACCGTGCAAAACATCATCAAAAGATTCAGAGAATCTGGAACAATCGCTCTGCGTAAGGGTCAAGGCCGTAAAACTCTACTGGATGCTCGTGATCTCCGGGCCCTTAAACGTCACTGCACCTCAAACAGGAATGCCACTGTCAAGGAAATAACAGAATGGGCTCAGGAATACTTCCAGAAAGCATCGTCAGTGAACACAATCCACCGTGCCATCCGCCGTTGCCAGCTGAAACTCTACAGTGCAAAGAGGAAGCCATTTCTAAGCAAGCTCCATAAGCTCAGACGTTTGCACTGGGCCAGGGGTCATTTAAAATGGAGTGTGGCAAAATGGAAGACTGTTCTGTGGTCAGATGAGTCACGATTTGAAGTTCTTTATAGAACACTGGGACGCCATGTCATCCGGACCAGAGAGGACAAGGATAGCCCAAGTTGTTATCAACGCTCCGTTCAGAAGCCTGCATCACTGATGGTATGGGGTTGCATGAGCGCTTGTGGCATGGGCAGCTTGCATGTCTGGAAAGGCACCATTAATGCAGAGAACTATGTTCAAGTTCTTAAAATTTTTTTCCACTTTATTAGACATATTTGGACTGATGCGACTTATAGGGCGGTGTGACGTGTAGGGCGGAAAGTACGGTATACCTCTCCATTAATGTTATATTCTTTTATTTTTATACCTTGTGTAATTCTTTGAGAATGTTGATGGTGTAGATTCTCAGTCATCCTGGACATGGTAAATCCAAAAAAGTTTAAAAACAAAAACAAGTGGACTTCTATTTTGTTTTGCTTCAATTGTGCATGTTCCTTTGTATGGAAACCCCGGCACAACGATTTCCTGCGGGATCAAGAAAGTTTTTATCTTAATTGGGTTGGCTAAATGTGGGGGATGTCAAATGTATTCTTGACTTGTACAGTCAGATACGGAAAATGACTTTACAGTTGACACTTTGTATTGTGTGTGAGTGAATTATGTCTGATCAATGAGACTTCATCATTGTCAGTGACAATCGGCTTAAACTAATATTTTTATTTTTGTCTCTAGCATCACATTATATTATATTATTACAAGATTTTCTTCTTCCTGCTCCCTCTTCACTCGTGTTGTCAGAGAATGTGTTTGTAAACTGATTATCTTTTTTTTAAATCGAGTGAATAAATTGATTGATTGATTGATATTATTAGGGGTTAATGTTTTAAAGTTTTGACTATTGTCGACTCAGCTGTGTCTTGAACCTTCAGAAATAAACACTTGCAGCTGCAAATGCATCCAACAAAACTTTCCTGACCGTGTCTTTGGTCGCTGCAGCTCCTACCTATTATTCTGTTTAGGTTTATTTGAGGTTTCCAGCTGATGTCCAGCAGTCTGCGCTGACGATCGATCAC